AAAAAAAATCTTAAAATATAGCTGAAAATATACCTTATTATATTCAAAGAAGTGCAAAATATTCAATCGCGTACTTTCTCTTAGAAAAATTCACGAAAATCGCCTAATTTTTCATGCGTCACACTGATTAAGCCCCTTAAGGGCGTTTTACATTGACCGAAACAAATGGAAGTCTAATGGTGCACGATCAGGGCTATATGGTGGATGCATCAAAGCTCCGCAGTCAAGCTCTCCCAGTTTTTAACGAGTCAACAAAGATGTGTGTGGTCTAGCGTTGTCCAGATGGAAGACGAAGTCCTTTCTGTTGATCAATTCTGGCCGTTTTATTTCGATTGCTTGCTTAGAACTCATCAGTTGTCAAAAGTAAAATGTAGAATCAGGCTAGAGCAGCTCACAGTGAATAGATTCCTTTCCAATCCCACCAAACATTCAGCAAAACCTTTCGAAGCGTCAATCTTGGCTTTGCGACCAATTGTTGAGCTTCACCACGCTTGGACCATGATCTTTTCGCACATTATTGTCGTATTTGATCCACTTTTCATCTAATATGACCATTTTCTTCAGAAATGGTTCAATTTCATTTCGTTTCAGCAAATAAGCGCAGATGTTAATTCGGTCCATTAAATTTGTCACAGACAATTTTTACCCAAACATCGAGCTGCTTTTTATAGCCAGCCTTTTATAAATAGTTCAAAACCGTTTTATGATGAATGTTAGGTTCCTTAGCGATAACACGGCTGCTTATGTGACGGTTCTGGTCAATTTTTTTTTTTAATTTCTTCGACTTTTTCAACGATAGGTCTATCAGAGTAAGATGCATCTTTCAAATCGAAACGTACAACCTTATATCTATCTCGTTTACTTTTAGGTGATATATATATTATATACGCAGTAGCAAAATTTTGCAAGGAATCACTTTTTTGTTTTTCAAATTTTTTTACATTAAAATCTATATACTTTTCCATGCGTGTGAACCACTTGTCGAAGTACTTTTGCCACTCTTCTTGAGATATATCCAAAACATGCGTTCTGAATGCATTAACCAACTCTTCAGGTGTCGAGCAACGTTGATCTCTTAGTTAATTWTATTCCTCCGGCAAYAAAAAAGSAGTCGTTCGATGGCAAGTTAGGACKTTACGGAGGCTGACTCATTAAATTGTTGTTTTAACTACAATGCAGTTCAATCAGGCGATGTACTACATATATGAGAACTCGACCTCGATTTGCCTTTACGACTGGCAAACGAATGATTATGTGCCACTTAGAATTTGCGACTCAGCGTTGTTCTAGTCATATGCTTGCGACATGCTCAGTTTTCCCAAAAAAAAAAAAAAACAGGCAGCCATTTTCTTATAAGTGCTTCAACTTTTGTTCGATTCGACTGGTTGTGAAACGTCAGACAGTAGTCCATGATTCATCACGTGTYACGATGTTATAGACATGTTTCGAAGCACCGCTATCGTATTTTGTTAACATTTCTTTCAACCAAGCGACACGAGCMATTTTTTGAGCGATTGCCGAATTGTGTGGACTCCAAAAAAATTGGTCACAAAGCCACATTCACGCAGTATTGAAAGTGCGCTGGTCCCACTAATGTCTATAGTTGTCTCAATTTCACGATAGATCACAGGATATATTCTTGCAATATAAATTTGCGCACAGCATCAATAGTTTCTGG